ATCTTATAAACAACTTCCAATATCAACCTACTTTGAATCATCAATTTCGATTTAATAGATGAATAAAAGTTTCAATGAAAGAACCATGATGGTTCCTAGGTTTTTTTTTGAATACTTATTGTGTCTAGGGAAACAATATACCTAATTAGAACACCAAAATGACACTCGTTCCTATTTTCCAATACCAAATGTATGTTTGTGCATGATATTAATCTAGCACGTTACGTGCAGTGCATAATCATAATGCAAATAAAGCCAATCGCATGTGTAATGAAGATCTCATTGAATGTTGAATCAGATAGGTTCACCCTTTGGAGTTTGCAACGTGTGTCGTTGTTATTCCATGTCCAGAGCCTCGAGCTGTTTCTAATTAAGTAGAAGCAGTCATATAGTCTTGCGTACTGAATTACGTGAAATGAACTTAATGAAAGAAAACAGAAAGAAACAAGAGGTAAAAAGTTAATTATAGGCATGCATATGTTGTTCATAAGCTGGTAACATTGTTTGGACTCTTTATTTGCATAGAGATTTACTTGGACACTTGTAATTTCATGCAAATCTTTTATTGGCTAGTCAATTTTTAGCAAACAGCTTTTATACTGATTTTGTAGAAATACGTGTTGGCTGCTATTGTTTAGAAGAGATAAAGAGAATGTTTTTTGATTTATTTTTAAGCTAAGAAATTTTTAAGAGAATGCTAAGATTGTTGGAATGAATCAATAACATAAACGTTCCCTGGCTAATGCAGAGTTATGAAAGTTTCTAATGGCTGTTATTCAAGCATGTAACCGGTGAATATATTTCATTTAGAAATCTACATTGGCTTGATCCTGTCAGCATTTATCTTCTCTTGATTTATGAAATTCCATTGTAATTAATCAGGAGAAAAGGGAATTTACAGAAAATAAGAGAATGGAAAGATAGAAAAAAAGCCCTCATGCTACAGATTTATCTACAAAAACGCCTTTATTTGATATTAATCGTGATTCTTTTTTTCTTTTATCAAACGTCAATATGGACTTATTTAATCGGAGTATTGGTACGATTAACGACTGACGAGATATTGCAGACGCTTGGGGCGGTTTGAGGGTGAGTTGCAATTTCCAACGTTCCAGACTTCACCAGAAATCTGAAGATCTCGTGAAATTAACACCGATATACTGAATACTTGGATATATAAAGAGAGAGAATACGAATGAATGAGAGGTCGATAGAGTACGAGAAAGAGAGGAATATATGAAAATATTATTGAGTCAGTATCAGCTTCTGATTATATATTGCAATTACGTGATACCCAAACTTTCATTAGACAAAATATGCAGCTAGCTATCATGTTGAATTTTTTTTCATTACAATCTCAATAAAACATCGATTGAAAATATTTGTATTGTATATATTGGCGAAAAAATTTATTTGCATAAACGAAATGTTGTCAATTACAAATAAATTCCATGTTCGAACTACGTAAAATCAATATTGAAGTTTTTATTACATTTATTAATTAAGGATTTACGAATTATTTTTATGAACTAGTGATTCACTTATAAATGATATAAAAAAATCCTATCAAATAAAATGCCAATGATTTTTTTTTTTGAAAGTGTTTTTAATTAAAAATGAATTTAATTTAATGAAGGAATCTAATGTTATTAATGATCTGTTTTATAGTTTTTAATAAATCACTGTGAGTATTCGACATGAGAATCTTTGTCTGAGAAAAATCCTAGAAAGAGAAAAAAAATGAAAAAGAAGTGAAAGAGAAGAAAATGAGTGTTGTAGACGAGGTCAGCCAACTGGATTCAAATATTTTTCCGCTGCACCGAACGAAGAGTAATGAGAGAATAGCCCATTCCATTGCACACGCTTTTCCTCGTTCTAGTTTCTTTTTTTTTTCTCACCCGCGCAAGTAGAAACGAGGAAAGACGAGAAGTAAACTACGGTTTCCCTAACACAACCGAAGCGGAAAAGTTTCTGAGATTTTGGGTTTTCCGGGTCCAGTTAGACATTTTACCAAGTGAAATGGTTCAGAGTTGAAAGGTTTCTTTGGCTCATCACATTTTTTTTACCATCTTTTTCATTAGAATACAAAAATGTTTTTTTCTGTTAAAATAAACTTTCTGTAGGGAAATATTGTTATTATAACTATAATGGAAATTTAGCTGATAAATTATCGAATTCAATGAACTGTTAAAATATTATGCTAATTAACAGAGTGTTTACCAATTCAATAAAAAAGCTATAAAATCATCATGATATGACTCTTTAATTTTTGTAAACCTGTTATCACATGATTATTTAAAGCTTGCAATTATTTATGAATAAAATAGTATTGACATGAAGCAATAAATATTTATTATCTGAGTAAATGTTTGAGCTTTTGCATCAAGTCAATATGTCAAAAGCCATTGATATTTCCAACATTTCTTTCTCCAAATGCACGTACTTAAAAAAAATTGAGTGAGTCTTAAAGTATAAATAAAAATGTAAATTTAAAATATATTTACAAGTGTCTTTGTGAAACCCTGAGCAAGTATTTTCAACAAAATTCCTAGGAAAATTGATTTTCAACACGTAAAATACATTTCGCTTTTGCTAGCACACAAAAGAGTATAAAATATTCTAAATGCATTCAAGTAATCTATTGAAATAAATTCATTGAATTAGATGCAAATGATTGACTGACGTTTTGTACTTTAAGAAAATGATTTTCTTACATTTACAAATTGTAAAAGATGGAGTTGAATGCTTGGCTTTTATTGGAATAAGAATAAAAGATTGGTCTAGATTATTAGATAGACGACAAAGACGTTCTTTACTGACAAGAATTTACCGTAGAAAAATAAAAGACTGCAAAATAGCATTTAAACGATAGATCGTTTCAGGGGAACAGTATCATATTCCAATAGCAATAACAGAACTCGGCACCTAACCTGTGAATATCCATTGGGTCTCCATTCTGCTTCGTAGTATATAGCTTTGATAGTAGAATATCCATGCGAATGCAGAAGGGTATGTCAGGAGGTAACAGAAGTGTTGAATATATGGTTGAGCTGTTCATCGATATATATATATGTATGTGAAATCATATAAGTATCTATGTATTTCGATATATACAATATCTGAAATTATAGCCAGATTCTTTTATGATTCATGTCCTACGTCAGGCGCGAATATAATACTTGATTATTCGATGAAAATGTCCAATATAATGCGTAACGTATGATGAATAACGTATATACCTGGCAAAAGTGTAAATGCAAATCAAAAATGGAATAGAATTGGCTTCGATCATACTGATAAAACATTCATCCGTTTTGGGAAATCCTATATTCATTACTTCAATACCATTTTCGCATTTTATCTGCGCATTCTGATACTTGAATAAATCACAAAACAATGATGTAATGACCCAAGGGAAATAAATTGTTCAATAACACGTTTTTATTATAAACATAACAACTGATATTTCGTAAATTTGCTAGTGAATTTTGGAAAAGTGTCAGCAACTAAATATATTTAAATCATTTAAAATAAACACGTGAAATTGCCATCATAAAATTGGATATTTTTCTCTAAAAAATATTTTTATATAAAAAACAAAATAACGAAATAATTCTTTTGGACTGGAAATAAATTTTGTTGTTAACTGAATGTTTTTATGTATTACAATTTATTGAAATGAGAGAAAAATTCCAAAGTCAAATAAAAACGAAAAATGATAAAGACATATTTGTCCTCTAATCTACTTTGTAGCGTATATTCATCGAATTTATCTTTCTTCATCAATCGCATAAAATTTATTTGATTCTTCACTTCTTTAATATTTCTTAAATATAAGTGACTGAAAAGTGTCTTTTACTTTCCAGAAGTTTATAATTTAATAAATAATATACATAAAAATATCCTCTTGAGAAATATTAGAAATCAATTTATTGATTAATTTTCAATTCAAAAAGTTTCTCTTGATTAATAAAATATAAATATGGAATCGAAAAAGTTGTTCTGTGAACATAGATAAGCTGAAAAGAGCATAAGCAAGTATTCTTAAAGTAAAAGAATCAAATATTTAAAATGCGTCTAAAGTTTGTCTCTGGAGTGTTTTATCGGTTCATATATTACTTTATTTCCAACAAACTCATCATTTTACGAAACTTTCTTTTTCTTTTCTTAAATTTCATCTATTTGACTATTTAAGGCTTTCTACATCTTTATATACACCTCGATGTAAGTTTGTATTCCTCGGGAGAGCTCAAAAGCCAGTGGGAGGAATTTGTTTTCCAATACAGCGTGTTCTGATGTGCAATAACTCCTACAATAAAAACAAGTAATATAACTTTAGTAGAATGACTACGACGTAGACGACGCCGGACGGACAGACTCGTCCGAACATGGCGATAGAACGACAAAGACAAGTGCAGTTGCATCAAGTTCTCTTCATGGTGTTTGAAACAAGGGATGCATAGACTCTGAGACTATGGACATAGAGAAACTGGGGGAATGAGAAAGGCTCGTATAGAGGTCAGAAGCCCACTGAGAATGAGAAAGTTTGGCAAACTGTGGTACAGATATCCGTTTGCCGGCGACGAGGATTTTGAGCATGGGATAGCCGTTCGTTCGGCCGAAACGATAAGGGTATAATGTGGCGCCGGAAAAGAGGAAAAGCATGAAACTAAAGTTTTATCCACCTGCAACAATGACGAAACTCTTTTGGAGCTGTATATACTGAAGAATGTCGAGCAATATATTTTGCATGACACTTTTATAATATTTTTTCCTTTTTTTTCAACGGGAATATATTATAAAAACAAATTGTAAGTACCCTGACCCTAGAGAGATCCTCCAACTTTACGCTTTAAATATTGTTTTAGATTTTTATTGGCTTAAAAGCGTTTCAACTGATTGTGTTTGAACTTTTATCAACTCTAAATCAATTTAAAATTCCCTTCTATTATGAATACTCATTTTTTTATTGTTAAAATTAAATTTCAAATAAAACTCACATTTTACAGCTTCCACGATTTATCCAAAACAATGGTGATGATGAAGATTAAAATTATAGCTTATATAGGAAGTATGGAAACCTGGAAATGAAGTAGATTTAATTAATTTTTATTGAAATAGAAATTTGTTTCTAAAAATTTCAATTTAACTTAATTGAGAGGTAAAAACAATTTTATATTTATTCGTTTTACTAATTCAACAATGAAAAGTGTAATTAATTAATTTGATTGAACATACTACATTAGAAAATTCATTTGTAGTTAAATAAAGAAAAAACATTCCATGATCTATTAATTTAATTGGCGAAAATTCGAGTAAAAAATTTAAAACTCAATAAAAAAGATATTTCATTATACTTATAGAGACTTGAAAATACTTAAGAATTTTTACCCAAGTATTATAAAACATAAAATTGATCTAATATTAAACTAAAAGTAAAGTATATTTTTATTTTGTTCTTTCATATGTCTCTATAAAGCAGGAATGAGAAGAAGAATAAAAGTGTGGGATATCTCGTGGGATATCACTACCAGAAGGGCGTCAGGTTGAACGTATATGTTTCACCTACCCTGAGGGAATTTTTTTATCATGAGATTTCACAGGAGAGATTGAAAGCAAGATTAGATAAGTTCTACCTCAGTAAATAGAAAAAATCATTCTGATATACTCTTTTAACTTTGATCGTATCTTGTATATTTTTCAATACTTAATACATGTTGAAAAAATTATTTTAATGAAAAAGCAAATATATTTTCTTCTGTCTATTAAAAATGTGTTCAAGTTTTTTTTTATGAATCGTAACAAAACTGACTAAAAATACAGGCCACAAAATGAATACCGAAAGCGTTTTTTTTTACACTACATATACTGCAATTGCAAAATTAATTTTTCAGTTCGTGTTTCAAATAAATTGCCATGAAATCCATAGGAAAATGAAAACAAAAAGTATTGAAGCTTAATGAAGGAAAAAAAAATATTTTCGTTCCAAAACAAAATTATACAGAGACAAATATTTGCATTGATTAATATACGAGATTTATATCACAGTATCGAATTGAATGTAACTACAAATTCATTACTCCATTTGGAGTAATAATCATAATTAACAAAGCTTTGATCATATACAAAATACTTGACTTTCGAAATATACTACTCAACACATTAATAATACAAACATTTCATCAAAATAATTATGTAATAATTTGTCTGATAATTCAAAATCAACAACTTAATCTAAAAAAGTTAATAAACAACATTATATGATCAATACCAATCTAAACAAAATTGCTCAGTATATCACTGCAATTCCTACTATTTCATAAGTGTTTAGAAATTAAACACTCAAAGTGTTTACAATGTTTAACACCATGCACGGAAAAAAATTATCTGGAACAGCAACAGATTTTCAGTTTGTTATTATTACAGACTTTTTTATCTGTATGTTGAACAAACAACACGTGTAGGTGTTATAATTTCAGTTTGTAATTACAACAAATAAAAAGGCTGTTGCAATTACAGAAATAATTTATAGAGAGTAAAAAATAGATTTTCTGATTAAATGAAAGTTCATAATGATAATTATTTGAATGCTAAATGTTTTATGCACCTGATAATTTTTAATGTTTTATGTCTAGCCAACTAAATGCAATTGACATTCGTAACTTTTTTTTTGTGATATCGACACCAGTTTGTGATTTTTACTGAAGGCTTTTAATTTTAAACCGAAAAAAGGGATTGTAAAAACAACACATATTCTGTCAGTAGATTTTTATAATTTTTCCTCGGAATAACAAAACATCACGTAAATTCATCAGAGAACTTTCATATGTCATTTAAACTAGTAATTTTCGACTTCCAGTGGATATGAAAAAAAGTAAAATGGGCACAAAAGTCAATCTGAATATTTTTAACATATTGTAAAAAATTTGTGATCGGAATCGTTATGAATATTGTTTAATTCAGAGAAAATTATTAAATGTTATTGATAAAAATAAAATATTAATAGCAAAATTATTGATTCTTTAATTTTATGAATTTTATTGTTTCTTACAAAACTCTAATTATTATGGTAATCATTATTAAATGAAAATAGTATGTATAAGATTTTTAAGAGAATGAAAAATTGATTAAACAGACTGGTTTGATTGCAAACATGTACAATAAAATTTATTGATGATACAGACATTTTTTTTGTGTAGATTAATTTCAATATATTTGCAATTATTATCTTTTAATTCAACTTATCATTAAGCCTTAGCTTAAATTTTTAATTCAGGAATGAGTAGAAAAAATCTAAAATAACATGTTTGATAATATTGCAGAAATTCGCGAAAAAAATCCATCAATTTTTTTGTCAATTCGTAAAATAAAATGCAATATAGGAGAGGAGGTTGTTAACGTCAGAGCGTCACATCCTTTCAGTGGATGCATTTAGGATGAAAATTGAACTCTGCAATACTTGAGAAAGCCATCACTCGGCAAGAGGTTGGTATGAGGCGAAAGAGGAAGGTCACAAATACACTGCAGGATTGGGCTTGTCTTCGCCTAGCAAGTTTGCGGTGTTAGCATCTCCTCGGTTCGTCGTTTCCCATCGACCAACGCGCCTCGTAGGATCGAAGGAAGAGAGTAAACTTTACAAGACATCGCCAAGAAGAGAGAGTGAAAGAGTGAGAGAACGTAGAAGATAGTAGACGAGAACTGATTGTACCGACAAAACTTCCTTAATTATCCCGTGGGTTTGGAAATTATTCTAGTGGATTCGAACGACTGCGGTCTACCAAAATGGTTGCCGACATGAACGAACGAGTCAAAGAAAACAACTAAGCGAAAGGACACCCACGATATTCACTATGAAGTGATGCTTCTCAAACTTCTAAACTTAATCATCTGCTTTAAGATTCGATTTTTTTTAAGGTTCTTTAATAAACTTTTTACAATGCTTTAATCTTGACATTTCACCAGTTCAGCAACACCTGACTTTCCGAATAATTTCAACTCCTCCCATCTTAATTATGCTTAATAAATAAAAAAAATAATTGTTTGAAAAAATAAAAATAATGTCATGCAGATTAGGAGATTATAATAAAATTAAAATTTTCATCAACTTAATTGCGAAACGTGACTTATAAGTAATGATGGCAATTATGAAAAATTTGATTAATTTAGTAAGAAATTAAATTGTTCTCTATTTTTTAAAATTAGATATTTTATGTCATCGAATCACCATCTTTGAACGTTAATTAAAATCAAGACTATTAGATTGGTAACAGGTTTAAAAAAATAAACAATAAATTTAAATTATCATTGAATCGATCTTGATGGAATTCAGTTAAATATTTTATATCAGAAGCTACAAAAAATATTTATTTTTCCAATCAATTATTATCTCCAACTAAAATACTGCAAATAATGTTGCGTATTTAAAAAACAAAATCCCTGGACATATTTTTCTCCAATTTCAAACAAAAAAGGTTTAATCGGAATAGAGTTCGAACAGTGAGGTGGTTTTGTTTGGAAAAAACTTTTAATCGTTGGAGATTATGGTAGCATACGTATGATTATATACATTGGGACTGGAGGGGTTGGACTTAATGAACCTAATTCTCATAGAGGCAGTAGTTTACGGAAATGTAGAGTTTATTGAGAAAGACATCATGTTGAATATATTTACGTGTATTCTATTGTTATCCTAGGGGCTATTTTGACCCGCTGTATACCTACATGCCATCCAAACTTGGCCATTTGAATTTAGCTAACTGCTCTACGCTTTCGAGTATAAAAGGGATGCTTAATTAGTCAACTCTATACATGTACAACATTTATATATCTAACCCCTGACCTTTCCTCTTTTATGTCTCATATTCGCAAATGTTACGACACATTAATCTAATTTGTTTTCTAAGTATCTCAATTTACATAACTTACGGTTAAGTAATGTAGTATATATTTTGAATTGACTAGAAACTGCAGTGAAATTCAGGTTGGAATACAAGTCATGACTTTTACTGCAGTTTATTGAAGTCAATAGCTTTTAAAACTCATGTAAGTGAAGTAGGATCAAAGAAGATTCCGTCTTAGATGTTAGACTCTTTGAATAGTTTTTTTTTCTCATATGCGATATAAATACCGAAATGGCGTACAAAGTTACTCTGTTGCTGTAATTTATTTCATGAGCTTTGAAATATTTCAATGCATTTTCCACCTATGGAATCTATTTCTTGCATGAATTAATCACTTTATGAATACATATTGCTACCTTCTACAACGTATGAGGATTGGTTCAATAAATAGCTAATAAAAACCAATGAATATTCATTGAATACTTACATGTAAGGAAACATTTTTTAAATCAAATTTCCGTTTTTACTGTTATGCTTTTGCATATTAATATTTTTTCCAATAATTTTCTCTTATTTTTATCATTTTGAAATAATTCATGATAAAAAATATTACCGGATGTTCAAAGGAAGTTATAAATTAATAGTTATATTACTTTTTTACATCTGAATTCTCAATTATTATTCATGTTTTATGGTTTACAAATAACGAATATTTTAAATGGAAGCAAATTAATCCTCTACAGATTCTTTAATTAATGAATTAAAAATATTTTAAATTGAAAATAAATTCACTCAAATGAATACAGGAATACTCATACCATATTTCTGTATTATTTCTCTTCATAAAAATTTTAAATGATATTATTCAATACAAATATATATGCAAGTGTATCAGGATTATACCGCAGCAAGAGAGGATTTTTTAAAAATCAAAATGTTTCTAAATAAACGAATTGCATATTTTTTCATCTTTACTTCTTGAAAGATTAACTAAAATATTATAAAATGACTGTAAGAACCAACAAAAAAGTGCATAGAATATGGAAACTACTTTGAATAAAAATAATCCAGAAGTTCATTTACTTAGGGATTTCAAGAAGCTAATTCCAAAGTCAATTTTAAAATCTTTCATTAGAGTGACTTTCTGTCACAATTAATCCGTAGATTTTCTCACCGTCTTTCCTGTCTATTCTGTCTGTTTTACCCAGTTCTGTTATCTAAGTTAAAGTCAAGCTTGTCTT